TATATTATTATGTACATGTATATTCAATTGATAAGCTATATAAAAACTTTTCAAATGAAAAGAAATGCATGCAGAGAGCTTAGGCTTTACGGAGAATAAACCGCGAGCTTTTCAGCCACACTTTATCAATGAGTTCCGTTCTTCCAATTGGTTCAGTCTTTCCAATTAGATTTCTGTCAACTGGTTAAATTGTAAAGTTTCACACGGTGAGTTAATTGTTCAAATTAATGAAGATTACTATGAACATTCAATAAAGTGTTAGGCTAGCAACAATCGATCAAGAGAAAAGAATGCATAAACCGGAATATGAATATTCTTTGCATTACTATATATTAGATGAAATGCTGAATGAAAAGTTGCAATAAAAAATAAACAAAATGCAGGCGGTCATTAAAACTATTTAATATATAATATAATATATACATACATATAGAAAACTTCACTATAAAGAACATATACCAGACGAGACTTTCTCATATGCACTTGTTAAGCATATCTCACCTTCACCTGAAGCTAATCCAATTAAGATTCTTTTGCTGCTCACTAACTGCTCTGCCGTAGTTAGAGAAAATGTAAATAATGAAACGCCACGACAAGATCAATGGGTCAGCTCGTACAACTGCGCTCGCAGTCACACTCGACGGTGGAGTGCGGAGTGCGGAGTGCGGCGAGAGCCACCTCAGGCGGGGGGCATTGCAGCTGAAAGTGCCACAATTTGCGAAATCGCAGCATGGCAACTAGCGCCAGCTTCGGCTTAAATCGCCCCTCTGCAGCGACTTCTGCGACGGCGAGTGGGCTCCACTTGGCTTGCGATATTTCATTTCTTTATTAAGTCAATGTCATATTTTGTGCGACAGTGGGCGCCGGTATCCTGGCTGGCTAGCTCTATCTCCCTCGCTCCTGCTCGCTGCTGCTGCTGCTGCTGCTGCTCTCTGGGCGTGCTTGGTCAGTGGTTTTCGCTGTGGTTGGCTGTGGTGCACAGCTGGAGCTTGTTACTTTGATGTATTCGAGATGCTTTGTGGCGCGCGCGTTTATTTGTGGACGCGTCTGCTGCAGCAGCGGGACGCCATTTGATGTGTGATCCGATCCGCACATTTCGGACATACCAACAGCCAGTTCATAAATAAATCTAAGCCCAGCGCTGTTTACACATCTAAGACGCTGTCATATCGAGCTACAAGACAAACAAATAATTGAGTTTCGATTACCTATTAGCTTACAAACAAACACACAGGCAGGCACACACACGCACACACACACACACTCACACACACTCACTCACTTGTAGCTAAACAAAAACCGAAAACCGAAACATTTGTCAAACGCTTGTCAAAGGCTGAAAAGCTTGTGGCATTTCGATGTGACAATGCATGAGTCGAGCTACGATTGGGGCAACTAGGGCGCGGGGCTAGCTCTGGTGCGGTGCGGTGCGGTGCGTTGGGGTGGGGTGGGGGCAGCCACGTAACCGCCCATTAGCCACATGCGCGCCTGCGTGACACATTGGCATCAATCAAAGTTTCACCCGTTTACTCTCAGTGCGTGTGTGTGTGTGTGTGAGTGTGTGTGTGTTGTTAGGCATATGTGAGCTGGGCTTGGGCCCCTTTTGTTATTGTTGTTGGTGCGCGCCGCCTGCGTTGGAAAGCGCGTAAAAAGACATTTTGACAAATTCAAGTAGCGCCATCTACGCTCGGCTTTAATAGCTTTTATACTGCCTGTCACGATATTTCATCAGTCAAACGACCACACGATCCGAACGCCACGACCACCAGACCACGGGACCACGACCAGCGTCAACAGCAGCGGGCACAAATATACAGACACACACACACGCACTCACACAGACACAGACACATATGGCCGTCAAGGCCGGAAAATGTTGGGCGACACAGTAGCGCGAATTTTATTTGATGTTATTTCCATTTGAAAATGAGTTATTGGCGCTGGTAACAACCCCTAAAATCAGCACCCCTCACCCCGAGCCCCTTACCCAATCTATATGTATATATCCTCAGACAAACACGCAGAGCAGAGAGCAGGAACTCGGGGCGCGTGGGCGAATGGGCGTGGGCGCGGCTGTGCGCATAAATTTTGGGTGCCAAGTGCTGCTCCCCTTTTGTTCGCAGCAAGCACCCCCAGCCCCCACACACACACATACAGACATGCGTTCGTTCATTCGAATTGCGATTTCCTTTCATTCGCTTCTCCGATTTGATTTATTTTATTTGTTTTGTATGACACCCGCAAGTGCTGCTGCCCCAGCGGTATATTAATTTTGATTTTGTAGGCGTGGCTGGCAGCCAGAAGCGTTTAACTGCTTCCACAAACACACACAAACACACACACACACACACAGGCATATAGAAATGTTAACTTGAGACATAATATTTATATTCCCACATCACGGACAACGGGGTGTGGTTAATCAAATAGACCTAATAACATATAACAGTGGGAAAATTACTGCGCTTTTCCTTTACGCTTTCCTTTTCCTTTGTATCTCTGTGTGTGCGTGTGTGTATGTGTATGTGTGTTGGCCAACACAAGTGGCCATTATCTTAGTTGACTCAGGGATTTGATTTAATGAGTGCCATTAGCTGCATATAATATATGTCTATATGCTTATCTTAACAAGTGTTTTAATTCTTATTAGAATGCTACTTAAGCAGCTATATCTGAGTATTATCTAATCGGACTAACTTAGCTGACATTCCAATTGATTCACTTGAGTCGTTTCTCCTATTGGACTGCCAATTGGGTTTTATAATACATTTCTGCGTTATTATTTCATGCTAATCAAAGTCTCATTCACATATCTCCCCATTTAGTTATGTACAGGCTCTTATATGCATATGGCTATAAATGTACGCAGACTCTGATTGGGAGTGGGCGTTCCATCCAAGTTCCCAATTGGATGACTGATTGATGACGTGAATAAATGCTAAAGGTGTGATGAAGCAAATGCGTGCGAGTGTGTGCCACATTAGATATTCATGCGAATCTATATTGAGCATCCACATTGCATGTGGCAGCGCAGGGTGGTTGGGGTGGCTCGGGTGGTTTGGGTGGTTCGGGTGGGCTTGCCTCGGGGCCGCCCACTCGTTGTTGCCGTCTGATAAATCACATATTTTCGCTGATCAAATCAATCTAATTGACATCACTCAAAATGATGGCAGAAAACTTTTCACATTCGTTTTCGCAAAATAAAAAACAAAAATAAATGAGTTCAAAATGGGACTACGCTGCGGAGAACGCCCCGCCACCCATGCTCCACGCCCAGCAGCCCCAGGCGCTTTTTTGGCTTAATGGTGGCTATGTTTCGAGCCCGAGCGGTGCGTTCCACCAGCCAAGGCAACCAGCAACCAGCAGCCAGCAGTCAGCAGTTGCCATTACGCCGGAATGCCAGAGGATGGAGAGAGGAGCATGGCAGTACGCAACGTGATTTATTTTCATTTGGAAATCCACAGCCACCCGAATTCGACGCTCCGTCATCCTGACATTCGAATTGAAATGCAAATTCTGACGAATGTGCGCACGTTGTGCGCCTAGGGTCGGTTCTGCGAGGCGGCGAGGCGGCAAGGCTGCAAGACTGAGAGGATATCGACGCTGCGTCGCCTCGACTCGACAATCAACGACTTTCGATGGTAAATGAGCCAGTCTACCCAGGAGCGTTACAATCGGAAATACACATGTGCTCATACGCCCAAAATCGCATATCCAGCACATTTACATATGTGCTTATATACAAGCTGTGTAAATAGGTGTGCGTCTGCCTATGCGACTGTGTGTGTGCGACTGTGTGTGTGGGTGGGTGTATGTGTACATAGGCAAGTGTTTACAGTTGATGCTTTAATATTTAACCTCTGATATAGCCCTTTAACTAACACATAATCTACTATATTTACATGCATTTCAGATGCGCTTGTCAATCAATGTGTAAGTGCATCAGGCAGCATCACTTATGAAATTGACGGTTTCATTGATGACTCTATGAATACCCTAAGGGGATAAGGATTTTGAATGCTATTAAGTATTTGTATTTTAGCTTTAATTATACGATTTTTAATTCAATTCAATATTCGAGGTATTTCTTTCAACAGCAACTAGGAGGTATATCTTTTATTAGTTGACTGTCTGTTTGGGTACTAAAGTGCTCATCCTTTCTTAAGTTGCATACAAAGGTATATGTATATGTTAGCCTGACTTAAATAGGTAAGTTTAGAATTTATAATATGAAATTGAAGTTTGATATATGCTTCAAATTTGATTTAGTCTTGCATACAACTATATAATAAAAATGATCAAATGAAATCTTCACTCAGGAATACTCTTTATACAACAATGTCTATAAGATAGTTATATGAAATATTATAAAGAATCATTTATAGACATATTAAGGCAGCAAAGGGCAACAGCCTCACTTCATGCATTCTTTCGCTGATGTCTATAGTCTAACTAGAATCTTTTCAATTACATCCCTTATAGTGTAGCTTACTTTTAATTTAGATTTAAAGATACTCACCGAACATTTTAAATGGTGTGGAAATCGTTAGTCGGCTGCAGCCTTCAGAATGTTAGACAATAGATTTACAGGGTGCTTCATCGTAGGTCCAATGGGAGTGGGCATAGTGATACATGCTGGCATGCATAAGTATGTGCATGTGTGTGTGTGGTGGTGTATATACATAGCTGCTGCTGCACATACATAGTAATCACATTTAGTAAAGTGTGTCCATTCGAAGGCTTGCGGCTGGGCATTCTCTTAAAAGCAAGCAGGACATCGTACTTACTCACACACACACACACACACATACATGCACAACAGCATAAACATATTTATGTGTACATGTGGGGTCAACTCGTATGTAAATGCTGCTTATAGACAGCATTAACAAGTTCACTTCATGCGCACGTCTGTCTGTCTGTCTGTCTCGCTGTCTCGCTGTCCCGTTGTCCCGTTGTCTCTCTGTGGCGCTGTCTGTCGCTGTGTGTGCAAATTCCTTTATTGTACATAAAATGGAGAACGCTCTCACCACCCACACTCACACACATACCAACACACTCGCTCTCTCTCTCTCTCTCTCTCTCTCTCTTCCTCTGTCGCCGTCTCTGTCTGTCACGACATTCAGCTGCCATGTTACCGTTTTCGTCCGCAACGCTTCCAGCTATACACGGCTATAACTGTATCCCTTTCGAAGTCGACGACATTGCTGATGCCCTGTAGGAAATGAGCGTTGACTCCTGGAGTCAGCCTAAAAGTAGACTACAATACATGCAAGTTCTTAATTGAATTGAAATGGACAATATTTAACGCTACGGCGTGTACTTTCAGCTTAGTGTAAATTTCAATTTTCATTTATAAATATTTAATAATAGAATTTTAGATTTAAAGATTCGCCACTGTGACGCTCTGTCAACAGGGTTGTTTTTCATGTGAGCTTTTTTGTTGGTTGTTAGTCGGTCTGCACACACACATGCCCAGACTCACACTCACACACACGCACACACGTACACGCTGGTGAGTTACTGTCGTTGGGTCTCGACGGTCCAGTCCAGGCGGCAGTGCAGCCAGGCAAAATAAGTTGTTCAAGTGGCAGCTTAATTCGCATAAAATGAAAACACGCTGTCTACATTGTTCCTACAACTTTTCCCCGACTTTTTATGGCACTTAAAATGGCTGCTAGACAAAGGGTTACAGCCAAGCGGTTGCTGTAAAATCTATTGCAATTGCGCCTTGGCCTGCTGCTGAGCAGAAAACTCGAGTCTTGTTCTGCGGCTTTTACAAAATAATTACAAACTATTCATTAAGCATATACCACACTAAATAGTCCCTATGTATTTGAATACTCTATGGAAGATGATAGTATGTACTCTACTCCCCATATATAGCCTTAGTTCATCTACTACATAACTAAAGACTAAATATGAACATTTCTATATATCCTTGTTCTCTTTAGCACTCGCTTTGTAAGTGCATAAATTGACGCTAATTTATGTGCAAGAATTAAACTTGAAATAATTGTTTATATTCCCTCAAACAAATGGGAGCAGACGAAATGAAGACATTATAAAGGAATTTAATATAAACAATGTTGCTGCATACTTGCGGTATTTTATAATAATCCAAATGCCAACTGAACGGACGTGCCAAGTGGCTGACCAACTTAATGGCACGGTCAACACGAAAGCCAGAACAGGCCTAGGTATATATATATATATAAATATATACATATATATATACAACAGTCAGAAGCAGCAGCAGCAGCAGTGGCTGAAGAAGAAAATGTAGTTCTTGTAGCTCAACTGAGGCAGGTGGCATTGTTGATGTACAGCAACATATATATCTAGATGTCATCGAGTGTTATTAAGGGCAACGGTGAGAAAGTGTCGAATGAAGCGGCCCAGTTGGGTTATAGCCTTAAATCGGAATTGGTTATATGAGATATTGCCAATAAATATATACATAAATGAAAAGAACTCTACAAATTTGTATTAGGGTGTAGAGGATATCATGTTTTTCGATTTACCCACTCCAAAAAAACATTTATATATATATCTCATATTTCCTGTATCTGTATAAAAGACAATTCAGCATAAATCTATATAATAACATAAAAAAAATTTTTATAT